TGCCGCGCGGCCTCGGGTCGGCCGGTGCGGGGGGGGGGGAGGGGGGGGTGAGTGAGCGGCTGCGTGGTGCTTAATTGCTGGCTGGGGTTAAACCACGACACCTACTTTGTCCACATATTGACCTCACTGGTGTAGACAAGTGAGCAAAAGGGTAACAGTTTGGGAGTCTCTATTCACTCACACTTGGGCAGCACTGCTCTGCCCAGCTCTCTTTCTGAAAGCAATTCAGTCTGGGTGCTGCAAGACCTCTCCATAATGCGCACCAAAACGAGGGCAGTGAGGACAAACTGATTTTCTGAGGAAGCTCCCTCCTGACTGAAACTAAACCACCACCATGGATCGTCCTGGTGGCCTCCTTCCTTCCACACTGGGACCAGGACAGAGCAGGGTGGCCAAGGCTCATCCTGTCAAAAAGAGGTTTGGGATCCCACCCTCAGGTTTCTTCACAGAGACATTAACAGTTTATGTCCCTTTCTGGTTTGAGGCAAACCCACTAGAGTCAATGCGAAGGTTGCTGATTAAGGACTTCATGAACCACCCCACAGGAATTACAGTGAGAAGAGGCAGCCTCTGGTTTTATGTCTCATGCGTCATTCTTGCCAAAGACTGAGTGTTCCCAACTGGATGTATATTTTCCAGTGCTACGTCTAGTCCAGATATGAATTATTTGTTTGAAGGGGCTTCTATACTTAACAGAGTCCCTCTTTCATTAAACGTTGAGCAGTCTAGGATCAGTAGATGTCTGATTACATAAATTCATACAGATAACCTCTGGTCTACATTCAAGGGTACACCTTCATATACTGAATCACTTTCCAAACTAGCACAAGAGGGGAAGAAGGGCTCGGAGGGCTCAAATAAAATTCAGCATCTTTTTGACAAGCCAGTTTCTCACTTGGATTACAATTCCTTCTGTGAAGTGATAAATCAGGAGGATTCCTAGTGGAGTCATTTTTGCCTTAGAGAAGTTTTGAGTCTGGACCTGAAGGGAGTCCTTACAGCAAGTAAGGCAGACTATCCCTCTCAGTTAAAATATTGGAAGAAAAGACTTCAGGGTGGAAACTGGGAAAAAAAAAAAAAAAAAAAGAGAGACATGCCCCACTCTGAGGATCCTTATAAAATTGCAGCTTTCACATAACTGGTGGAGAGGCAAACAGGAAAATGAAAGAAAGACTAATATGCTCACTCTTGCTGGTCCATGTGACCTTGCTGGAATGGATTTTGTGACAAAAGCCTTCCAAACCCAGGCTGCACTGACACTTTCTGTACACACTTGTGGTCTTCCAGCATTCCTAGAAATTATTCCTCACTCTCCAAGGCAAAATGATCTGCCTATTCTTTCTCGTTCAAATCTGCTGGCTTCACGTCACCCCTAAGTGCACTTTCATCCTCCTACTCTATTAAAGTCTATGACGCAACAAGCTGGTCCTCAGCTTGGCTCTGGAGTGTGTTGATGCGGCCTTTATGTTAACTTTTTCTGGTAAAACTGCACTCAGACCTGAGTGGGGGACCTAGTTCATATATGACCTAGTTCATCGTGGCCCTGCATACAGTGGAGACACAGGCCAGGAGTAGCATTTTGCCAATGAAGAAAGGCTATTCAGGAGCAAATTAGTGACGCTTCATTAATACCATCAGTTAGTATCCCATTACAGATAAGCTGCATGCATAGGGTTTGGAGGGGCTCGCTTGTGACACCGGGTTTCCCAAGCGGTCCAGAGTGGAGGTGCAGCTCGCTGCCCGTACCCAGGCAGGCTCTCTGCTGCAGACAGGTTATCCCGCACCCTGATGGACATTTGTGAGACAGAGCCCTGTACCTGCCTAGTAGCACTGCTGGCACTGGGGATGGTGAGGGGTCCTGTGGATCAGCAGGACAAGGGTGGGTAATGCAGGTACCCCTCTGAAGACCCCACAGGAGCAGGCAAGGAACAACAGCTTATGAAACCTACGTTTTTCCCCTTGCAGACATCGCTAGCAGCATGAATGCTGGGGGACTTGTCAACAGCCCAGCATGGGAGAAAGTCCAGCATCTCCTGCAGATGGCAGCAGCCCCAGGCTGCCAAGCTCTTTGCCCTAGGATGAAGTTAAGCTTCCAGTGTGATCTGGCAACACAGGTGGCTTTACACCGCAACTATTCACCCACTCTTTATGCATACAATTCTGCTTTCTTTGTTGAACTTCAGAGCACGCAACAACAATGGAATGAGATATTTCAGAGTTAGCTCTTGGGAAAAGCACTTTCCCACAAATAAATCTTTCCTGACAGGGCAGAGAAGTAAACGCGAATGTTTTGTCTTCTATTATTTTGCACTACATTGTGATGTATGCCCACGGATTTTACAGTAGCACTCTATTACAAACTATGAGCAGAAAATGATCATCAGTGATAATTCACCACCAATATATGATACTATAAAAGCTTTGCTTCTTCATCCAGAGAGATATTCCTGAAAGTATTTTTTTCTAGAGACTAATGTAAATAACAGAGCAAGACTCTTAACAACAAGGTGTGGAACAATGCTAGACTTCAAGGTTTGCTACACTTTACTACTCCTTCTGGCACGATAAATATTTAAAAAAGAAACTACGTGATTCTTCAGTACTGAAGTCACTGCTATGTGACTGCAGTAAGTCAGCACATTAATGTCAGAGCCAGACAGGTGAAATATTACTGTATGAATGTTTTGATATTGCAGTTGTCAGACCATACCCTATTTTCTAAAAACTGATGAGAACTAAATTTTGACATTTGTTATGCTTGCCTGCTTAGATATTGTGGGGGTGGGGTGGGGTTGGCTAATTCTACTCTTTCACTTGTGCAAATTAAGCTTTACTTGACTGAGGTCTATCAAGTTAGCCTGGCCAATATTAGTAATAAAATATAACCACAAACAAGCACATAGGGTTTTTTGTTTATGAAGAGTTATGGAAGAATATGCAGATTCTTTGAGGGTAAAAAGGAAGCAGGTCCCCTCCCTTCAAAGGAGTTGGGTTCATCTACACAGAAGCTGAGGTGAAACACGTGAATAATTTATCAGCTTACATTAAATACTTGTTTAAACCAGGAAAGACACCCTGGAGCCACAGCTCAAGACTGGAATTCAGGATGTTTGAATTCAATTTCTGCATTCACCACAGTCTGCCTGACCAGTACAGCTCTCTGCCAACTAAAGATAAAAAATAGCCTTCTCCAGAGAAGAAGGAGAAGGAATCCTGTAAGATTTATGGATTTCTCAAGATAAGACTCTCAGACTTATCTGATTTTTTTAAATGTGTATGATTAATAATAGAAGATTATCACAGTGGGCTTAAAATGCAGGTGGAATAGTGAGAAAGTTGTACTATTAGAATCCTAATTTTTGCCAGTTATGTGGCTTACTACTGCTAATTACTGCCCATAGAGGTCACACATGTCATGGTATTACTGCTTGAGAGAAAAAACATGAGGCTCAGAAATGGCTGAACTGTCATTCAGGAGAATTTAGCTTTCCCTTGTAAAAAACACTGGTCCTCAGACCAACCTTCACAGGGAAAAGCAACATCTCCTTGACCACATAATCTGCTTCTTGTATCATCTCTAATTTCCATGAGTGGTCAGATCAAGTCAGTATTATAGAAATCTCTAGTTCAGATGGAATGATGATGCTGTCCAAAGAAAGATAGGGATTAAAAATGTGCCAAAGAACTGGGGCAGGCTCTAATAGCAGGACCTGATTGCCAATAGTCAGGCTGCAAAGAAAATCACTGAAGGTGAGCCTTTATTTGTGCAAATCTCTTCTCTTCCAAGCAATGGAGATGCAATCAGAGGCCCAGCTACCTGATTGAGTTACAGAAGGATGGATGACAGATTAGATGTTTGTGAAAGGAAAAAAGCATCCATGTGCAAAGTATCAAAGTGTATCACAAATAAATATTGAACATGGTAATAATATCAGGAAAATGAAACCACATTGTGGACAGGGGCATAGGGAAAGTACAAGGTTCTGCTTTTAGATTCTGAATGGTTTTGAAACAAAAAGTGAATGCACAACAACATC